CTTGGACAACCATATCCCGAATACCCGGTTCAGGGTAATTAACCAAGGGAAATCCGACCCTGAGATATTGACAAGTAATTAACCTGTTAATTACAGCTTGTTATTAACCGCTGCCAAGAACTCAGGGTATTTCACTGAGCACTAAGCCTTCAGACGGCCTCTCGCGGGGCTCATTGGCTAGGTAAGGACTTGTAGATGTCCGGAGGGGAATCAAAGGGCTTCGCATATCGCATGCAATGTATAATATATAGATGTACTTAGTAAAATCAGTCATTCTAGTATGTCTACAGTGACTTGAGGAACACTCTGCCCTCCGGTAAGCCCTTTGCCGCGCGTTTGCCGATACCCAAAAAGGGCATATTTGGCGCGGACAAACAACGCGCGCGGAAACGTGATGTTCAGTTTCTTATGCAAACGACTGTAAATCGGGAAAAATCCGAAAACATATAAGGCGGTAGGGCCGTGCGAGCGGCAGAGCCCGCTACCGTAGACATAGATAAGATTTGGTAGCAAGCTGAAAACTTGACATCCTGAGCAGCACCATATACTAATATATTTATTTTGCGAAAGCAGTTGTCATGATTTCCGACTGAGCATTCACCTCAACGATTTGAAGAGATGTCCACTCACTCCTCCCTCAGGTTCTGAGTATACAAGTCATTTATGTAAAACAGCTGACATTGAAGTATGCTGCTTTTACCTGGAGACCGCATCTCCAACGCCCCAAGCTAGGTCATGTCTGTTCTCTTGAGTCCCTTGACCAGCATCCGCCACCTTGGCTAAAGATGGAAAGAGAGATGCCACGTGGTTCTACAATCAGGGTCCTTTGAGGACCCCATCTTTGATTGGTCCAAAGCCGTGTGCCGATCCTGCCGTCCGCCATATACGGTTAAGAGCCAAATAGTGTCAAATAGATCGCGTAGATCTTGAAACGATCGCAGGAAACCTGCGAACGGCCGGGGGGTCCAAGACCCACTACCTACGGTAGCGGGAATGTTCTCATGCATATTGGGGGTGCCACAACGTTAACCCTCCCAAAGGAGGGGCATTTCCCTGCGATTGATCCGTTCACTCCCTTCCGCACCGTGGCCACGAAGTCTTCGAATTCCATTCTTTGCTGTAAGTCTTGAATCCAGTTCTTAGCCGCTTGATCAAGTTCTGAAGTGAACGACACGACTGATACTTGACAGATATGCGGCGGGGCGCCTTAGTGGCCTGTCACTCCAGCCTCGGAAGCCGCGCCCCGGAGTTTCATCGGAATCTCCTCACGGCCAGCATTTATTCAGGGACCGAGTCATTCATCCATAAAAACGAACTCGTGGCTGCGATATGGTTTCCCTACCTCTTCTCTACTTTCCTAGACGTAGCAAGCCGCCGACGCGTATCTGTCACCCCCTAGCACTTGGCAACTCGCGCGCGCATACTGCAGGATTGTGGCATTTTTACCATACCAACTGGGAGCTACGGCGTTCATGCCGTTATCAGACTAGCACTGAGTCCAGAGTCGCGGAATACACGAGGAGCCAGTCATAGGTATATAAACAGTGACCCATGGCGACTGTCCGTTTACACTCACGGCGCCTCCTGGCAGTTGATATTAAAAGGGCATCTAATTTACCTACAGTATCATCTTCCCGCCGCTGTACACAATCTATCGGCTCGTCGCTTGCGAATCACAAAGAAATCCAGACCACTATCCAATGACCACTAGAAGTAGACGTTCGAGTTTCTCAGAAGATGAGACTGTGCCCTTGCTATCCCGCCTGACCAAAGAGGACAGGACCCCTTGGTACAGGAAACGTAATCTGAGGCTCTTATATCTGGTCATGATCCCCACTTGTCTCGGTACTGAGATGACTAGCGGGTGAGTACAGCTCGCGAGTCCCCCGACCCGAAGACCAACCCCAAATCATAGATTTGATTCTTCCATGATGAACGGGCTGCAGGCAGTAGAAGCATGGAATCGCTGTACGTCGTCATCATTGATTATTCCGACCTGATTTCAATGATTATCACAGTCTATGGGCATCCACGGTCCACAATGCTCGGCATCATGACGGCCCTTTACTCGCTAGGAGGCGTGTGCGCCCTGCCTTTCGTCGCACCTATCAGTGACACTCTAGGTCGTCGTCGCTCGATCGTCTTCGGCAGTGTCCTAATGGTCATAGGGGCTTTATTACAGGCGTCCTCACAGAACTGTACGTCCCGACTCAGCGCAAAATAAGGGAATCGCTCACGGACGTCAGTTACTATGTTTATTACTGCAAGATTCATCCTCGGTTTCGGCATACCCTTCGCGGTGATTGCTGCCTCTTCTCTCGTCGGAGGTAAGCTTACCAGCGTGGCAATACTTAATGATACTGCAGCGGCTGAGCGTTCACCCAGAATTGTCTCATCCTAAGGAACGACCTATCCTCAGTTCGCTTTTTAGTTCGTCTTACCATATCGGTATGTTGACATCAGTCATGTCAGTGACTACAGATACCACACAGTCTTTCCCCTCTGTAGGGTCTTTCAGTGCTGCCGCGGTCACCCTTTGTACTTTTGCAATTGCAAACAACTGGGCCTGGCGTATACCATCACTCCTACAACTTACCCCTAGCGTCCTTCAAATTGCATTCATACATTACCTCCCGGAATCCCCTCGGTGGCTTGTCGCAAAACGCCGACATGCAGATGCCCTAGCCATATTGACCAAGTACCACGCGGAGGGTGATGCGGAGAACGAATTTGTACGGATGGAATACGCAGAAATCCGCGAAACGCTAGAGCTTGACGCGAAGAGCAGCAAGAGCTCCTGGAGTGATATGGTCGCTACGAGAGGGATGAGGAGGCGCGTGCTGATTGCTGTATTCCTCGGAATTGCCACCCAGTGGAGTGGAAATGGACTCATCTCGTGCGTCGGTTCAGCTTGCTTCATGACGTATCGCCGACTAGAATTTTGGACGCGACGTTGGTGGCGACTCGGATAGATACTTCTTGGCGCCCATTCTAGACAGCATCGGGATTCACGACAATCGTACTAAGAACCTAATCAATCTTGCGACCGTGTGCTGGGCCTTTGTAAACGGGACCACCATTGCTCTTACTATTCCCAGAATCAGGCGCCGCGTCGCATACATGGTAGGTCCATTATATCCCACGTCGCCCGGATTATCTGAGAAGTTGGTGTATAGATCTGTACAATATCTTTGTTCTGCATCTTCACCGCTTGGACATTCGCGGGAGCCATATACACTATCACGGGGAGCATTCTGGCAGGGCACGCAGTTGTTGCGTACGTATTCATTCTCTCTAGCCCTATAGTATACTGAGATTATTGCTGCCTGGCAGGCTCATGTTTCTATACAGTCCAGCATATAATATCGGCTATAACGCACTATCCTACAGTGCGCAATCGAGACTTCTTCCCGCCTGATCAGGTACTAACCGGGTTCAATGGGTAGCGTTCATGATCGAAGTCTTCCCTTATCATGTGAGATCGAAGGGTCTCACCATCTTTCAAACGGGGAGCAAATCAGCCGTATTCCTCAATCAGTTCGTAAATCCCATCGGTATTGCCAACGCCGGTGAGTGCGACCCTTTCGTTCATGGTTGATCGCGCGGTTGATCGCAAGGTGCAGGGTGGAAATATTACATTAGGTACGGGCTGGCCACGTTTGCTTCGGTATCAATATACCTGACGAAGGCAACCCTAGTTATTGCGTATTCCTCTTATTCGAAATCGTCTTCGTATACTTCTTGTTTCCAGAGACGGCGGGCCGCACGTTAGAAGAGCTGGCATTTCGTAAAGACATCTGTCACTCATCGTCTCATGGAGTTAACGAGAAATGCTTGCAGTGTACGAAGGAGACGAGATCCGCCACGAGCAGGAAGGGGACATCGAAGACGAGATACATCACGGTTATTCGTACTCAAGAGTACCTGTGGCATCACCATCGGGCGGGGAGGGATCGGGCAGGTAATATTCCGCTCACATTACAGACGTGTTTCCATTCGCTTAACATCTGATGTCAGCGGCGCACTTTGAGTGTTCCAGGTTGACACCTTCTTGTATGCGGCGACCCAGAATAGACATAATTCCACCCACCCAAGGCGGCTTTATGCATGCTATTGAGATCGGCACGCATCGGATGACGAAGGGAACAGGCACCGGAAAGGCGTATACGTATGCGGATATCGACTCTGTTGCTCGTTTCTACATCTTTGGTTTTGGTGCGTCCATCTTGATTTCTACCCCCGATGCTACAAGACGGCTACGTTTCAAATCCCAAATCTACCCACACGGTGAGCTATCTTCGTCACTTCCGCACTGTGCCAGGACACGCACCTCGACCCTAGCTGATTTGATGCGTGAGCCAATAGCCATCGTGGTGGCCAGTATCCTAAGTCGATCACCTTCGCCAGCCGGTGCGTGGAATACCGTGTCTATTGCCAATGATAGGCCTGGCATACCCAGTCTTGCATCCTTATCAAGAACGGTGAGGCATAGCAGGGCGCAACTGGAGGAATTATCAGATGATCTCTTAAGCAGCTAGTGCGTCTCCTCACTTATCTATCAAGTACATCAAGCATCCTCCGTGCACGTACCCCGCCCCATTCAGCATGTCTGCGTACCCGGTCAGAATGCTATACCAGTGAGTTCGGATCACGTCTAATACCTTCCTGCGCGGTGATTTCACAAATGACGCGGCCTTCGTCTACTCCTTTGCCGTGTTCTTGCAGCTTATTCTTTACCGACACTTCCATAATGTTGAGTCTCCCCCCGATCGAGTCAGCGAACCCCCTGCCTTTCCTCATCATGGACTGCAGCATATCCAAGATGAGTTTCTTTGTCTCGGGTTGTGCGTTTCCAGATATTTGTGAGACTTCCAAGTCCCCCATTGTCAATAGTTCATGCAGACCATCGTCAAGGAAACGTACTAGCCATCTCCTACACCGAAAGCTTGGTCTTGAAATCTCGACTGGTGACTCAGAAAACGAAGTATGGGAGTGCTCTTGAGATGGTTGTCTCCTCGTGCAGTTATAAACATCGTCCCCGAATATTTACGTATGTCCACTGATGATCAGATTCTCCAAGAACTAAGCAGGGTCCAGGATCTGAGGGACTTCACTTCTTGAGAATCCTAAGACTTCCTCCCCACATTTTGAATTCCGTGTGGGAGCAGGAAACATGGACCCATTTTGTGGCGCGAACGCGCAGACGATCTGCCACTTGCACGTGTTTATCTATAATCCCACTGCACCTTCTGTCGTCGTCCTCAAGAAACCGGTCGCTCTGAGCGCATGATGCCTCTCATTCCCGATGCCCAAGGTGCTCATTTCACTAGAGGAGGCAGCGAAGATCCCCGGGAACGCCCCAGTTGAGGCGAAGCAGCTGGCGGCGAACTGGCTGCAGCTATTCCTGTCGCCGAATCACGGGCGACCAGGTTTCGCGGATGCCATAGGCAGGAGGATCAACTTGACCGAGATTTCTATTAACCCTAATCCCAATGAGCCCGAGAGGAGAGTGTGCCGGGTAGTAGCTGAGATAATAGTTGAGACTGGTGAGTGTCATTTCCGCTCGTGGATGGCTTATCTTAACCTGTCTTACCTATAGACATGGTGAATGGGATGGGTACGCTGCATGGGGCATGTGCTGCTTATTTGATAGACGAGTGAGTGAATGTTTTGTCTTCTCCTGTGTACCCCAAGAAAAGTGAATTGGGGTTCCTTGCAGCTGCTCGGCTTTACCCATCGCCGCGTACTCTCTCGTCACCGGTGGCTCCGGATCCTCTGGCGTTTCGCAAGCACTGAACATTGTCTACCATTCCCCGGCGTTGCTGTGAGTCGTCGAGAATTCCTTGAACCATGCAATCTCAAGATGTACTTGTACTCAGGGGAGACAAGCTTCGAGTCGTTAGCACGAGTCTTGCAGTGGGGTCACGGGTGATGTCGGCTTGCTGCGAGGTGTGTATCGTGGTTCACTTCTCCATGTGCGGCTATATCCAAGTACCCCACAGATCTGGGATGATAGCAGACATCGTCTCGTTGCCTCTGGAACACATATAAAGATGGAGCCGTCTAAGCCTCAGTCCAAGCTGTGAATAGAGTCCAAACTGTCACATGTCCTGAGAATGTACGCTGAGTACTATGTAGTTCTTGAAGTCTCCTCTATGTGAGGGCTACTCCACAGAACCCGAATCCGTGCCCCCGAAATTGATAGGGCGAGACTCTATGTAATTATGTAAGTCTAGTGTCCGTCGTCCGTTCTCACAGCGTGGGCATGTACCTCGATGGGTCCATAAAGTCACTTTATCCTAACATTGTCTCAGTTGTCGCGGAGCCATCACTGATGAGCCTTGAATGAAAACGCACAACTGTATAATTGTAGTAAGTGCACTTAGTGCATGGCCGCGTGGCGTAATGGCAACGCGTCTGACTACGATTGTGTTATCAGGAGATTGCAGGTTCGACCCCTGCCGCGGTCATTGTCATTCGATTATCTTCATAACTCTTTTATCTGGTTACCCTCCACAACTTTTGTGATTCTTTTGAGGAATTGTCTTGCGCTCAAGTGTTACGCCCTCCGAACCCTGACCTGGGTTCACCATGTCCAAACGACCTTCATCACCATCTTCCGGCACTCTCATCAAACGGGCTCGTTCTGGTTCCCCCGAAGGGCACACGCAACAGATAGCAATATCTTCCTCTAACAATGAACGAGGCATAGTCAGAAGCATCAAACGCACGAGCAACTTAGAGGCTCCAATTGTCAGTCTGTCAGGCGCACACTCGGTACGTACTTCTCGCTAGGTATGAACATTGCGCTGGAGGAGAGACTTTGGACTGTAGGCTAAGTGAGGACCTTCCCAGGCAGAAATCTTGAGCTGTAAATTCGACCCGAGCGGGCAGAATATTGCTGCATGCTCGGCGGACCGCAGTCTTTGTGCGTCTCTGAATCACGCGTTTGTACTCTTTTGTTGACCTCGACTCCATTCCACAGCGTTCTGGAAGACGTATCCACCGAACGTGAACTACGGGCTGCTACAAAATATTCACAAAGCGCCGATTCTCGACTTCCAATGGTCGCTCCTCCATCCGCTCATATACACCGTCTCGGCGGACCACACGCTCCTTATGACCGACGTGACGACCGGGGAACGCGTCCGGAAAATTCGTGCCCATCGCGGGATCATCAACTCCCTGGACAGGACCGTGGCAGGCGGCCCGGGTGTGGAACTCATCGCGACTGGCTCGGACGACGGGACGGTGAGGATTTGGGAAGGCGGGGATGAGGGGAAGAAGGACTGCGTCGCTGTGTTCGAGGTTGGGTGTCCGGTCACCGCCGTGTGCTGGAGCGCAGACGGGGCGAGCGTGTACGTCGGCGCGCTGGACAACGAGATTCATGTGAGTGGCAAATGACCCTCCCACTAACCCCTCCACAGCTGACGAGCGCCACAGGTGTACGACCTCCGCAAGCAACAGCAGGTATCCACGCTTCTCGGGCACACAGACACGCCCACCTCGCTGTCCCTCTCCCCGAACGGGTCGTACCTCCTCTCGCCCTCTTTCTCGTCGCAGGTCCTCATCCACGACATCCGCCCGTTCTCACCGTCCCCGACGCGAATCCACCGCGTACTGACGGGTGCGCCGGCGGGCTTCGAGGCGACGCTGCTCAAGGGTGCGTGGAGCCGCGACGACGGCGGGAAGCGCGTTGCGGTCGGCGGCGCAGATCGCATGGTGTGCATATGGGACGTAGAGAGCGGGAAGCTGCAGTATAAGCTGCCCGGGCATAAGGGTACGGTCACCGCCGTTGATTTCCATCCAAAAGAGCCCATCAGTGAGTAGAAATTTGGCTGTAACCTTTTTGTCGTTTGGCTGACCGTGCTCGCAGTTTTGACGGGCAGCAAGGACGCGACAATGTTATTAGGAGAGATCGAGCCCAGCGTTACTGTGTAATCGTAAACCATGCACTCGCATTGAGCTCGCTGCTGCAATGCGGTATTTGAATTGATGTGCCAAGATGAGCAAGTACATAATACAGGGCAGCAACGATAGCAAGTACAACATATAGAATAGCAATGCGACGATAGCAAGACAATAATGATGGTCTGGAGAGCAAATTATAGCTGATTCAAGATTGCGGACATCGGGGGTCGATGTAGAAACTAGGCAGAACATTGACCAGATGCTCAACGAACCAATACCCCTCCCCGGGGGCGGTATTTCTGCGGCGAGGGACGATCTGCGCGAAAGTCGCAGAGACGCCCATACCGAAAATGAACTGATCCAATATGGCAGGGTCCACGAGAACAGTGATGTTCTTTGTAAGGGGTTCATGACACTCGACATTCGCCCATGCCTCAACTGTCGGCACCAGGATATCCGAGAGCCCCTCCGCGTCGGGGCTGGGCAGGCCCCACGGGGCGAGTATTACCTTGCCTAACCTAACATCCAGTTCCTCCTCGATAGCAGAAGCAGCATCTGCATGGTTTCTCCTTGGGCCTGCAGCGCTTGGCGGCACCACGCGCAGGATGCGTCTGGTGCTCGTCTCGACCATGCCGACGTGATGTGTGAGCGGAAGGCGCGTGGGCCCGAGGAGGGCGAGCAGGGTTGCCTCGTTCGGGTCGGGCTTGAGCCAGCTCGCGGGGTCGACGTCGGGGATCCATGGCCAGGTGTCCTCGTCCTCATCGTGCAGGTCGGATAAGGCTACCTGCAGGTCCTGGGGGTCTAGTTCCGATACGAACTGCTCTACTTCCGGGCGGACGAAGCCGTGGAACAAAATTGGGGAGTAGAGCTCTCTGCATCCCCGTGCGAATGAGTAGGAGAGGGCGAGGGACGTGATATGCGTCTGGGGTAGCTCGATTTTCGCCTAGATGATCTCAGTTAGCGCGGGTTTGATTGTCGGCTATGCTATACCTGCCGTACCAATTCCAGGAGCTCCTTCGTAGCCAGGAGCTCGCCCAGCATGTCCTCGTCGTAGTGGAACTTGATCCTGAGAAGGAAATCGACGTAGAAGCCGATAAAGTACCCCACGTCGCGGCACCAGCGTTTCAGCCACGCGTGCCCGATGTTGTACCAGTCACAGGAGAGGAACTGCTGGATCGTCGCGTAGGGCGAGTAGATGAACGTCTCGAGGCGGTCGTCCTGCTCTGCAGGGCGGCGCCGCGGGTTGGGCTTGCGCATCGCGGTGGGGTTCTTGTGCCGGTCGGGGTCGGGGCGGTAGGTGAGGATGCCGATGTGGTAGCGAAACTAGCAGGGCGGGGGACGTGCTTAGGATCATGACGTCCGTAGACGAATGGAGGAGGGGCGCGTACCCAGCAGTACAGTTCGTGCAAGGAGTCTGTGTGGTTCTGGGGAAAGGGCAGGTCCGGCAGCTGCGGCCACTCGCACTCCTGGTCGAACGCCTTGTCGGCCATGAAGAGCTTGTCGACCATGTGGTACTTTGAGAAATTCCTGGAGAGCGATGTCACCAACAGTATACATGGTGGTCGACGGGGGGTACTCACACGTCCAGATTACGGCCATTGAACCGCCCTTGGGATACAGCACGCTCCCAGTCAGTTACCCAGCCCGGGGCCGCCATGGTATTTCTTCAGCGATTTGAAGGGTGGCTCGACGGCTGTCGAAGGAACCGAACCACGTATATCTGTCCATCCTTCTGATTCTGAGTAAACTCTGTCAGACCCACGGCGAACCCTGAACATAGTCGTAATTATAGCGGCCGGAGTCACGGTCAAAGAGGAAGTCCAGTCTACCGCGCGAGGGCGCCTTGAACCTTCTTCGTGAGGCCCACTGGCACCCACCTCTCCCATCTTCGCTCAGTGCTGCTGGCGTCGGGCTCTGCTGGACTACATTACTGCCAGACTAAGTCACTGTGTGTCGGGGCGCGAACAGAGTCGGACAGAAACAGACTAGACGTTGAAGTCTGCACGGTATGTCGGTTTTACTGGAGACGTCCTTTGGCGACATCGTCATCGACCTAGAAGTCGACGCGTGTCCCAAGACATGCGAGAATTTCCTCAAGCTCTGCAAAGTCTACTACTACAACCTCAACGCGTTCTTCAATGGTATGTACGCGCTAATCTCATGTGAGCCACCCGCTAATCGTCGTGCAGTATCAAAGGACTTCCTAGCGCAGACCGGTGACCCAACCGCGACTGGCACGGGCGGGGAGTGTATATGGTCGTACATCGCGACTCAGCAGGGAAAATCAAGCCCGCGCTACTTCACCCCCGAGATCGTCCCGCGGCTCAAGCACACCGAGCGCGGGACAGTCTCGATGGCGGTCGCGCCCTCCGTGGAGGGCCTGAAAGGCGGCTGCGGAAGCCAGTTCTTCATCACCCTCGCCGACAACATCGACTACCTCGACGGGAAGCACGCGGTGTTCGGGCACGTCGTAGAGGGGCTGGACACGCTTGACAAGCTGAACGAGGTCTTTGTGGACCAGGACGGGCGGCCATTGAAGGACGTTAGGATACGGCACGTAATCATCCTAGGTAAGTCTCTCTCCCCTCCCAGCAATATTGCTCCGTAACACTGCTAGTACAGAGGACCCCTTCCCCGACCCCCCAGGCCTCGTCCGCCCCGACGCCTCACCCATCCGGCCGCCCGACAACTCCACGCGCATCGCCGAGGACGAAGACCCGCTCGCGACGCTCCCCGAGGAGGAGGCGGAGAAGCAGCGGCGCGAGCAGGCCGCGCGCGCGTCCGCGCTGACGCTCGAGATGGTCGGCGACCTGCCCTTCGCGAACGTGCGCCCGCCCGAGAACGTGCTCTTCGTGTGCAAGCTGAACCCCGTCACGCGCGACGAGGACCTCGAGCTGATATTCTCGCGCTTCGGGACGATCATGAGCTGCCAGGTTATTAGGGACAAGAAGACGGGCGAGTCCCTGCAGTATGCGTTTATTGAGTTTGATAAGCGGGAGGATGCGGAACAGGTTGGTGATTATTCTATAACTTGGGAAGTTGGGCTTGACATGCTGCAGGCGTACTTTAAAATGCAAAATGTCTTAGTCGATGATCGTCGCATATGGGTCGATTTGTGCGTCATTAATGCTCTACACCATAACGGAAATACTGATCGAGATCTAGCTCGCAATCCGTGGCTCGTCTAAACAACCAATGGTCCAACAACCCGAAGATGGGCCCGCGCATGGAACGCGGTGGAGGTGGGAAGCGCGGCAGGGGAGGTGGTCGTCCCGCCGGCGGCTTCGGCGGTCGTGAGGACCTCGAGGAAACGCGGAGGTACCGAGCGGACGACTACGGCGGAGCAGGGGGTGATTATGGGATGGTTTTCGATGTCCCGGACGAGAAGGACGGTAGGCATCGAAGCCGAAGCAAAGAGCCGGAGCCCCGGCGGAGGTCGAGGTCGCCTCGGAGGGATAGAGACAGGGACAGGGAACGCGAGAGAGATAGGGACAGGGAAAGGGACTATCGCAGGAGTAGGAGCCGGAGCAGGGATCGACACAGGCGTCGAAGCAGGAGTAGAGACCGGGACGGCAGGCGAGAGAGGGATGGATACAGGGAGCGGAGGCGCTGAGGCGTCGAGAAGGACTTATACGACCGTATGTACCTGACTCCTATCCGCCATGTACATTGATCTGATATCTGCAATGAAGCTGCTGCCATTGTTAATCTGGTGCCCATAGTGAAGCCGCTGTAAGTGTATTAGCGGCGTCACGTGATAACCCACTGACGGGGGTGGTCCGAACTCAGATCGGAATGACCAGCATGGATGATATACCCGAAACATCCTTGTGTGCCGCGGTCGCGCTACACAGCTTCGTTTAGCCCGCAATGACTCTCAGAGATATCTGCGTCATTCTTGCCACACCGCCCTTTCTTGGATTCCCCACTCACTCGCGGTTATAAACTCACCTCCACCTTTGCACTCACCCGTATCCCCGAACTTGTCTCATAGAGAATACGATGCTTAACGCCATTAAGGACCCCTGGAATTCACCCGACGCGGATATCATCCTCATCTGTGCCCCAGACGAAACCGACATTCGTCTGCACAAATGCATCCTCTCCGCGGCGTCCCCCTTCTTCGAGAACATGTTCTCCCTGCCGCAGCCGTCATGTTCGGACACGCCCCTGCCAGTCGTGCACATCTCAGAGGCCAGCTCCGTCATGGAGACAGTGCTGCAATTTGTGTATCCGATGCTTGACCCCGACATCGGCACCCTGGACGAGCTCGCCGAGGCGCTCGCAGTCGCGATGAAGTACGAATTGACAGTCGCCATCCATGCCCTCAGAAAGCTCTTGGTTTCACCGCGCTTCGTCGAGAAGGAGCCCATGAAAGTCTTCGCCATTGCATGCCGCTTCGACCTCGACGACGAAGCAAAGGTTGCATCGCGACACACTCTTTCCACCGACATCCTCGCCACACCCCTATCCGACGACCTCAAACACATCTCCGCCTACTCCTACCGCCGGCTGCTCGACCTGCATCGCACGCGGGCCGCGGCCGCGCAAGAGGTGCTGCAATCCTCCAAACCGGGGTCCGTCAACACGATCAAGTGCATGCAATGCAGCGCGGTCGCGTTCGGGAGCTACATGCCCCCGCGGTGGTGGACGGACTTTGAGAAGCGCGGCTGCGAGGAGCTCGCGGTGCGCCCCTGCACGCGGGTGATATTCTCGATGGCGTTCTTGTCGCAGTCGGCCAGGTCGGGGTGTCCGAGGTGTGCGGAGAGCGTGCTGAACTCCTACGTGTTCATCGAGGGCCTGAAGAAGCGGATCGACGAGTTACCGGACACCATCTAACCTCCCGATTAGCGTGTGCTCTCCCGAGGTTGTGCCTGTAACGTTATAGGACCGGAATTTCCATCTAGCATATGTTTGATTCGTGCTGGGTACATTTGATACAGTAATCTCCTATAGTATGAACTGATACAGTGTAACCTTTTCTTCTCGACCAATCCGTCGCCCTGCTACCGTTCGGCCTTCGCTCATGCGAAATTGCTCGGGTACAGGTAATCCTCTAATCCAACAAAGTTCTCCTTGATACTCCTTGCAGAAACGAACCTATAGAAAATGCTGATACTACCCGCCTTGTCGTTCGTACCGCTCGCGCGCGCACCGCCGAAGGGCTGCTGGCCGACGACGGCGCCCGTGCACTTCTCATTGTAGTAGACGTTGCCGGCTGCGTGCCGCAGGCGGTTAGTCGCCTTCAGGAGCGCCTTGCGGTCGTTTGCGAAGCTAGGTAAGGTACCATCTATGAGCATCAGCCAAAAGAACGCAACCAGGGTAGACTGACATGGCGCCGGTGAGACCGTAGGCGGAGGTGGTGTCGATTAGCTCGAGGGTTTCGTCGTACTTGGCATCGTCGTAAACGTAGACCTGGATGCAACCTGAGTTACAAGGTAAGATCACAGGTGCTGCGCGTGGTCCTTACGGAGAGTACGGGGCCGAAGATCTCCTCGACAAAGGTGACTGACTTCGGGTCTTTGCTGAGGATGACCGTCGGCTGCACGAAGTAGCCCTTGGAATCGTCACCTGGGTTTGAGGCGTGAATGAAGTCGGACTCATTGCAATTCAGAGGAGTATTACCAGTTCCGCCAATCAGGATCTCGCCGCCAGCCTCCTTGGCCTTTTGAATGTATCCCGTGATCTTGTCGAAGGCCGGTTTGCCACTGCACCGTACATTCGTTAGCCATCATTGACATAAACCCGCGGAACAGCTTACATGACGGGTCCCATGAAAGCAGTGAAATCTGAAGGAGGCCCAACCTTGATCTTGGAGATTTCTTGGAGCAGTTGGTCCTTGAACCCGGAGCTCCAAACGGAAGAAGACACGTATAAACGAGAAAGGGCAGAGCATTTCTGGCCTGGCAGTGGCACGGTGCTCAGCTAGAATGATACGCGGAGGCCGCACTTCACATACCTTGGTACTCAAACGCACCCCGGACGGCCTGGTGGACCGCGTTCTTGATATCCGCCGATTCGTGCACCAGGTGGAAGTTCTTCCCACCCGTCTCGCCGACAATCCTCGGGTAGCCCTTGTACTTGTCTAAGTTGCCCGCGATATCCTTCCACAGCTTCTTGAACACGGCCGTGCTGCCGGTGAAGTGCAGGGCCGCGAAGTGGGGCGAGTCGATCGCCTGTCCGACGACCTCGGGCGGGTTTCCGGGAACGAACTGGAGCACGCCAGCGGGCAAGCCGGCTTCTTCAAGGATTTGGTAGATGAGATAGTTCGAGTACGTCGCCATCGGCGAGGGCTTCCAGACGACGACGTTCCCGACGAGCGCGGGCGCGCCCGGGAGGTTTCCGCCAATCGCGGTGAAGTTGAAAGGCGAAACGGCGAGGACGAAGCCCTCGAGTGGGCGATATTCGACTCGGCTGGGGTGAGAGTTAGAGTGTAGAGATCGTCCGAGCAAGCGGAAGACTCACTTCCAGGACCCGGAGCTGTTCTTGGGAGGCTGCTGGGCATACAGCTCCTCGACGTACTTGACGCCAAACCTGAAAAAGTCGCTCAACTATGCTGCAGCGTCAGCACCGCATGATACAGCTTGGGTTGCTGCCACGAACCTCAGCAGCGGCGTCGATCTCCGCCTGCCACGCGTTCTTCCCTTGGCCGAGCATCGTAGCCGCCAACAGCTTGTACCGATACTTGCCGCTGACGAGGTCCGCAGCCTTGAGGAAGATGGCGGCCCTGTCGTTCCACGGCATGGCCTCCCATTCTGCCTTGGCTGCTAGCGCGCCCTCGATCGCGTTTTGCACCGTCGCCTGGTCAGCTTCGTGGTACGTGCAGAGGTGCTTTGCGTGATCGAAGGGGATCGGCTGTTTGGCTGTTTTTCCGGTCTTGATCTATTTAAATACGGTATGAGGGCCAGCGCCGCGGGTGCAGAATAATTGCTTCACTCACCCGCTTGCCGTTCACGATGCAAGGAACTTCGAATGGCAGCTCCTGCTCCATCTGCGTGTACGCAGCCTGCAGCGCCTGGCGCTCAGGTGAGCCTGGTGCGTATGTACGCTACGATCCATTAACAATCAGTCCCCATCATCGTGCATTAGCCCCTGAATTACACACCATGGGCTCATTGGAGATGTCCGGCACCCTGAAAGCAGCAAGTTGAGCGTTTGCCATTGTCGTCGCGCTCGTCGTTCGGTCCTATTTGTTGGTGCTGAAACTGCGTATGCGCTGCTCGTCGATGGTCTTGGACGAGTTGCAGACTCTTCAATACAAGTCGGACCGGATCCTGTACGATTCGGATAACGAGCGCCAATTGATGATCTAGCCGCCGGCAGCCACGGGAAAGGCCTCAGCCGAATGCGTATGTTTGTCAGTGGACAAACAGCTTTTCCGTCGTTGTTGCATGACCTTGACCACCGCTGCCGTTCGTCTTCAGCGCTCTAGCCGTCGTTTACTACCGTCATTTGCTGGGCCTGCGAGAGGGTTCACGCAAAGCTCTTTTAGGTATGATGAGCAGCAACAGCGACAGCAGCCAAGCTCAGGCTCAGCGAGTGCGAAGCTTTTTGCCGACGCCGTCAGAGAAGAGGCAGAGGAGGTCGACGCATTAGCCAGGCGGGCGCGGAATCCACTACTCGAGAAACATGAGAACTGGACCGGGGAAGAATCCATGCAGGACGCTGTCCTGCGTATGCTAGTCGACAAGTACAAGCCGCTACGGAGCGGGCCTATCCAAACTGCCGACGAGAAGCTCAAGCGAGCACCCCCAAAGGTATCTGGCCCTGACTCGCCAGGCTATACTGCGTCTGCTACTACGGTTTCTGAAGTCGAAGACGGAGATGCAACGATCCGTGTTACTACGACTACTACTGTGACTGGAAGCACGGGCGAGCCTCGTAGGCAAACAGACTCTTTTCTGCCCGGAATTGAAGGACACAAACCCTGGCATACGACGTTTACTGTCCCCTCACATGCAACGGCCTCCATTAAGCTCGGAAACATCCCGCCGCCGAAGAAACACACGCCGCTACCACTAGATGAGAAAGCTCAGAGGAAAGAGCGGGAAGCTCGACGGAAGGCACTGCACGCGACCAGGCTTACCGGCGCAAGGGAGTCCGCCATTGACTATCGGTTGGGAATCAAAGGAGGGACAGCGCAGGGTGCCCCCGGGGGGCGGCCGAACCCGATCAGTATCAAGGGATGGCAAGGCCTGGTGGAGGAGCGTATAGAGGTGTGTTCTGTTAGCATTGACTAACTATGTCACTAAGACATGCCTTCAGCGTGCTAGATTGGAAGGTCATTTCAATAAGATCAGCGGGCGCGGGAAACCCTTGACGAGGCAGCAGGACGAAGGGAACCCGTTTATTGCCAGGGAGGAATTCTTAATGAACAGGATTGTAAAGCGGCAAGGAGCTGCTCCGCCGTGGGTCGAACTGCAGGCCGGTGCGTATGCTAGACACTTCCAGGAGAATAAACACGACTGACTACTCTTTTGCGCAGAGCTTGAATCGGCCGTAACATCGTTCCGTGAGATCCTCCGCCAATCATGGACCCGGCGTGCCATACGAACGCTCACAATCTCGCACCCCGCCGTCCATCTCAGCTCGCTCACGCTCTCCTCCGTCACGGCTCTACGCGATCCCGAATGGGAAGAACGAGAGCGGTCATATCATATAACGGCTCTCGACGAGCTTAACGCTCTTGTGAGGAAGTACAACGGCGTGGCGCCCTACTCGGTGCGAAGGCCGTACTACAGGATTGAAGAGGAGCTTGAGAAGGCGTATAGGGAGAGTGGGGAAGAGATACTGAGAGGGGTCGACGAGAGAGTTAAAGGAAAGGGTAAGAAGCCTGAGTTGCGAGGGTATGCTGAAGCGGAGGATGGTGGTGGAGGAGGTGTTTTGGATGGGCCGGGGGAGGTCCTGAGGATTCGCGACGTGATCAGGGAGTGGTTTGCATGGCTGAGGAGGAAATAGCCGCCTCGTAGTTAAGGTACGATGATTCACATGAATACTTATACACTTCTCTCATATACTTCTCTTCATAGGTATGGCAGATGCTGCCATATGACCCTGTCGACGATCCGGAATGACCGTCGTCAGTGGGGCGTACGTATGAATGTACGACCTTGCTTTCTCGTCGTGCTGATGGGACGCTCTTCTTCGTATACAGCTACATTATGGTACTTTTAATCCTCTTATGTATTTTTCGTGGTAGAAATAGAGCTGTAGCGACTATCATATAATAGGGCTGGTAATTGGGCACGGTGATCAGCCACCGCATACCCCGCTTTGCATGAGGTGATGCCGCGAGGCCTCCTCGCGAGCCCCCTCGTACCTTACGACGACACTGGCTCCATCCCGTCCTCCCGCCTCGCAGCCCACGGCGTCTCTCATTTTTCGAGTATTTTCCCTGTAATTTCCATACAAAACGTCAATGGTTGCCTTGGCCGTCGCTCGCAGGCCGTGATATACTAAATGCAGACAATGGCGAGCGAGCGAAGTCTGTTGTTCCCCGAGCTTCCATCGCCGGGGGGCGGGATTCTGCCTCATGGCTGCCTCGCGTTTTATGAGTAACATGGGAACGCCCCCCATTACGCATTCATCTAATCTATAAAAGCTGGAGACTCCCCCAAAGGGCTCTTCACCTTTCATATCGCTGGCCCCCTCGTCATCGACCCCGACGACGTCGAGACAACGATTGTGAACGTCCCCGGCGACCTCAAGACTCCTCAAGATCTTGCCTCAATCGCACACTTAAAGTCGATATGGCCTCCGAAGTCGTCAGGTACCGCACCGAGACTGTCACCGACAGCGACGATATTGCGGTCAGTGACGCCGCCTCTCGGGGCCCACTTAGGTCAATACTGACTGTATCAACCATCCTCTTAGCCCGGTGACATTGTTGCCGTCCAGCACTCGCAGTACGGCAAACGTGAAGGGTTAGTAGTAGGTTCGCACTATGACTATGCAGTGAGTGTCCGCGCCCGCCTTTGCTCTGGTATCGAATAACCATCTGATATCATGCACCATGACAGGGAAGACTGATCGTTGAAGTCCAGATGGAACCCGGCGACGTTTATCACACCTGGTAATGCTCTCTATCTGTATTATTCTGATATAAGTGCTGACGAGAGTCTCTTCAGGGCGCCTACCGTGACGAGGATAAAGCGCACCATCTACCGCACGCCTACGAAGCACCGGACGATCGAACGTCATATCTACTGGTGACGCACAAATCCAACTGTGATATGGAAGTGCGATTTTCACCATAAGGGCTCGTCCTTGGCTCCTCCCCCCTCACGTCGTGGACCCTACACGGCGTTTGCACGGTTACCTCCGGTACATGTCTTTCCAACGTGTACCCCAGGATTGATTTTCGGTTCTCCGGTCCTTGTAAGCCAGTGCAGTCGTTCCATTCACATCGATGTGCGTGTAGGCATACGAGAGACTTTTCCCTTGCTAGTTGCGTAACTTATCGAAGTGAGCTGGGTTTATTCTACATCTCCTTCCTGTCCTCTATTCCCATTCAAAAGGACTATATCCAAACTTTAGATTGCTACGATTGTAATGATATGTATTGGGGCGTGCGCGAGGTGAGTATGGATGTGATGTAGTTATAGGGTTGTCAATGCAGTTTAATCCGCCTCGCCGAGAGTTCCGAGCAAAATGAAAACGAGAAAGCAAGACTGATTAGCGGGGGTAGGGTGCGGTACTAACGATACAGGAGCGTGGATGTTGTACAGAGTTTGGGCGAGCCAAAGCAAGGCATAAATATACGTGTACACGGTGCATTATGCTCGAAGCCCGACCGTCCGTGGAGGCGATAGCGGCCCTCCTGACAATGGTCGAACCGGCTGAGGAGCTTTTAGACGGGTTGGCGAGGTTTTCAATGTGGCTTGGTCGGGTGGCCGGATCGTTGGAGCCGAGTCCTCCTCGAAAGACGGTGTCTCCTCCAACGTCGTGGCTTCGCCGTTCTGAGCTACTGCTGCTGCACGCGCAAGCCGATCTCTGGCAGCCTTGCACGAGTCCTGCAAGTCTCCAGGCCTAACCTCAACCTTGCGAGGTTCCGCCTTCTCGACCTTCACATCGCTCGGCTCCCTCTGCAGCGACGGCGACGCGCTCTTCCCCCGCCCCGCCGCAACATTCCTCACCACCCTCGGTCCGATCGGCGCCGTCGTCCCGCCTACAGATAACAACGACTCATCGTCAGCGCGGCCGCTCAGTACCCCGCACGTCCCGAGGACAACGTCTGGCCTCACCGTGTCCTGGGAGCTCCGCGAATGGACACTCGGCCTAGGGTGCACGACGCGCTCGTAGAACAGCATGAACGCGCCCGAGCCCTCCGCGAGCACGCTCTCGAGCCCGCACTCGCGCACGCTGTCGTCGCTGATACGCAGCCAACCGCGGCCGGGCGAGGCGGGAAATTCGTCATCGCGCACGGGGCCGTAGCGCTGGCATTTCTCGCACTCACAGCCGAGCGGACAGACGAGGCGCGGCGGGGCGAAACGGCGGGACCCGGCGGAAGGAGGCCGAGGTTTACGGCGGAAGCAGACGTAGTGTCCGAAGGAATGCTGGCCGTAGTGGCAGACGACCGCGGCAAGGCGATAGAGCGTGCGAGGGGTAGCGTATGTTGCTGGGGTAGGTGTCGTCGAGCGGGGAATGGGCGGGGGAGGGGAAGAGATGGGCGCGGATGGGGTGGTGGACAGGTTGCCAGATGTGGTGTACGGCGTGAGGTCAAGGATTTCAGGGAAGATGACTCGACATGTATTTTTGGTGGCGTAGTGGCCATATATCATTGAGCGATTTAGGTGAAGAGCCAATACAGGAGGCGGCTATCATGAGTTAGACGGGAATCATTTGGCAGTCCAAATAGCTCCTCGCTTACCCGTGCAATCATTGCTTGTTTCGTCGACGCCCGACTGAACACCTTCTCCATCTTAACGCCACGGATGTCCTCTTCTATCTTCCCCTGTTCAAGAGCAGCCTTCACCCGGGATTCTAACTTCCTAGCCTCTCTTGCTCGCTTCTTCTTGGAAGATGATGGATTCTCGTCGTGGCTAGCAGCTTCGGTCAATCGCTCGGCCTCTTGGGCTAGACGTCGATGGGTTGCTATAAGCGAACACTTCCGACAGATACAGTCTGTGAGCACTTCTAGTCGTGTGTAGTCGGCAAGACACTCTTCAAGACGACAGCTCGCCTGCTAGCTTGTCAGCGACGACAAGGGAGAGGAGGATCTCAGCGCACATATCGAGGCAGAGCCAGTTGCCAGTTGTCAAACGCAAAGTGCATGACTGCCTCCGTGTACCCACAATCCATACAGCTCCGCCGATTGGCGGTAAGCCCGTCAAACACACTCTTCCCGATATCTCTACTGATATCAGAAGGCATATTTGCTAGTCCCGCGAACCCTCGATCCCGATGACCCTCCTTGTCCACTTCCAATGCCTCTTTCTTGATGCACTCTGACAAAAGCTGGAAGAGCTCTTGCGCATCTTGGTGCTCTCTCGAGGAAAAGAGCGCGTTGTGTTTCCCTCGGGACTGGTTGGACAAGGCGTTGATAATGTCTACAGGTCGGATAGAGGTGGGGTGTGAGCGGGGAGTGTTCAGGACTAGGGACGGTATCATGTCAGTACATAGATCTCCAGGCGGGACACGAAACGCACTATACAGTAAGTCCCTGAGCGCATCCAAGACCGGCGTCGGTACATCCAAAGCTTCCGCTTTGGCGTGAATCCGCTCTATATGAGGTTGCAGATAGCATAGCGACGCCATGGCCTGCCGCATACGTTATAAGAACCGTCGGAAATCCTGTCACACTGCGATACCGACCTGTAAAGTCGAATTCATGAAGCAGTACGTCCCGGAAATATTCACCAGACCGGGATAGTAGCCATCTTCCGTCCCCGCAATATCCTGGTCATTGTCTGGACCTTCATAAGCAGTAATTACAAGCGTATCTGACGTATAACGCACCGTGTTTCGCACTACCGTTCGCCACCAGCTGGTCTGCTCGTGTGCGGACATGTTTCTTCTTCAGTTTGCGCCGGTCCGAAGAAGAGGCCGAAGACGAGCTCGCGCTTGACGAGTTCCACGAGAAGGAAAGGCCCAGAGACTCGAGGAACATGGCGAAAGAATCGAAGACGGACGGGGAGTGGGCCTGGAAGGAGAACGCGAGGAGCGGGATGACTAAAACGACGGCGAGCGGGGCGAATTGCTGCACCAGCGGGTTGGCAGAGAGAGTCTGACACAGGGCTCTGAGCTGTTCCAAGGGGCTCATTGAGACGGCGGCGGGCAGCTCAAGCGTCGCGGTACGGACACATCAGAGATGCTGCCGTGCGATGTAAACCTTGGAAAGCTGGAAACGAATGCAGGTCCTACTTGGGTCGTGGAAAAGAGTTTTCCTGAATATATAACATATGTGCCATTTCGAAAGTATGGCTACCTGGCGCAATGGTAGCGCGTTTGGCTTCGATTGCCTAGCGTACCAAAAGGTTGCAGGTTCGAGTCCTGCGGTGGTCATAACATTTTCTTGGCTTTTAGTTGTACGGTCACGTGTACAGCACGCGTTCTCAGACGCGCTCAACCTTGACATCACTTTGGCGCTCTGGTACGCGACAGGACCGTCTGTTTCCTTTTGTCTGTGCCTCTGCGACTCGTCTACTTCTACGCAAATGGCTACAGCCACGTTCCTGTCGCAACACTCGTCCAATCCTCTGGAGGCCTCGCCATCAAACACTCGCAACCGATCCTACCGGCAGCGTTACATGAATGCTCTGGCAGTTCCGCAAGGCCACGCTTCATCCGAAGATCCTATAAGTGGCTTTGATATGCCTGAGAGAGAAGAGTATCACACGCACCTCGCCCAGCTATTCCCCAGGATGTCCCACATACATTCGAAGCAGGATAACGTCGACCTACCAAATAGCAAAGTGGAACCGCTGTTGCCGAAACTGCCCGTCGAGGAAAACCTAGTGGAAGAGGCTGATGATGCACTGGAAGAGCAGTCAGATGATTCTACTTCTGAGGCTAGCACGGACGAGGAGATGACCATCAAATTAAAGCCACAGGAGGAACAAGACGAGATAGAGGAGGAGATCGAAGACCTCGAGGAGTCTGTCCCGCAGTTGACGGACGACTACAAGATAGTAGACAGGCTTGGGACGGGTACGTTCTCATCTGTGTACAAAGCCATCGACCTGGGGTACCAGTGGAAGTGGGACAACTCGGTGTGGCACGGCCGACATCCGCCTTCCTCGTCCGCGCATTATCAGTCGGTCCCGCACTCGGACTCGGCGAAGGTCTTCGTTGCGATCAAGAGGATTTATGTTACGAGTAATCCTGAGCGCATACGGAACGAAATCGCGATTATGGAGGAGTGCAGGATGTGCCGGCACGTTTCGCAGCTTATCACTGCCTTCCGGCACCATGACCAAGTGGTATGCATTATGCCTTACCATCGAAACGAGGACTTCAGAGTATGTTGCGGTGTCGAATCATATAATGCAAGTCTCATGCCCTCTTTACAGCTTTTCTACCGTAATTTGCCTATGGAAGGCATCAAGTCGTACTTTCGTTGCCTCTTTCGGGCCTTACGAGATATACATGCTAGGGGTATAATTCATCGCGATGTCAAACCTGCCAACTTTCTATTTGACCCCCGAACGGGGGTCGGAACATTATGCGACTTCGGCTTGGCTAGTGTAAGTGCCTCTTCTTCCCAGCAGGCGCGGGCACTGTACTGCGACCCAACTATCTAAGGGCTTACGCTCTCATAGAGAATGGAACCCGGGCCGACACTTGGGACCTGTCTACACTCAGGCCCCACGCGCGAGAAGCCTCACGGCCAACTACGCAACCTCGGCGACCTGGATTTCGACTGGATCAAGAAAATGCAGAAGGAGGCACGGCAGAAGAGCTCCTGGCCCTCTGACAGAGTCGGCTACCTGGAAAAAGACCACCGGTAAGGACCAGTCGCTGTCTCCCTGGTCATGCTGTGATGACGGCGTGCTTGATAGACCGCCGTCGAAGGCAAACAGGGCTGGCACGAGAGGCTTCCGAGCGCCGGAGGTCCTGCTTAAATGTGGGGAGCAGAGCGGTGGTGAATACCCTAGTAGACTGTATTGCGACTAAGCTGAAATTCTGACCACAGCAATCGACGTCTGGTCCGCGGGAGTTATCCTACTATTTTTCTTGACCGGCAAATTCCCATTATTCCAGTCTAACGACGACATAGAAGCATTAATGGAAATTGCTGTCATCATCGGTAAACGGAAGATGGAGAAAACGGCTACTCTACACAGTACATTTGTCCACCCATCCCAGTTGCCGGCCGTGTCATTAACTATGATGATACTGCAGGTCGAACCTTCGCGACTAACGTGCCCTCAATAACACCGGACGGTATCACCTGGCGAGAGTTTGTAACGCGTCAGAATCCGGACTTGTTGACACCACCCAAGCCAGACTTACGCTATTATCCGTACTCATGCCGGGGATCCTCCTCAGATAACCTACCGGCGTCGTCTGCCAAGTCCTCGAAGTCGGATCTCGAATCCTCGTCGCCGGAGCCGCCAGATCCCGACACTCATGCGGCGGATATTGAATGCGCCCTGGACCTTCTCGAGAACGTGATGAACCCGGAATGCACGAAACGGTTCACTCCTAGGGACGCCCTTTACCATCCTTTCCTCGTGGAACCGGAGAAGTATGAGGACGACGAATACTTCCCTCATCCGTTCGGAGAGGGAGTATGCTCAGAGTTCCACATGATCGACGACGAGACGGACGAACTGTGTGTTCGGGTTGGCACAGAGGACGGAGAGGAGATCCTTAGGGTCGAGGCAGGGGAGGGTATAGCGATTGGATCACACCCTTGTGAATTCCACCACGACTTGTAGTGTGTGCGATTATTTGTGCGACTACACTAAGTAAACTATTTTTATGTAAATATGTGGCAGGCTTTATTTACACCTCCCCTGGAGGCAAAAGATTATAAACTATATATGACCACCGCAGGACTCGAACCTGCAACCTTTTGGTATGCTAGGCAATCGAAGCCAAACGCGCTACCATTGCGCCAGGAAGCCATATCGAATTATTAGGCGTGGCGATGTCTCATTACCGGCATTATCTACCAGTCCGTAATTACTCCATGATTCCAGCGATTTCCCCCTCTATACAAGTATCACCTCGGTCACACGGACCCTCCCACCCCTACGAAGTCGTACCAGCCGGACAACATATACTGGTCACCTTTGAGTCGTTACAGCAATGGCATTAAACTGGGCCATGCTGAGTCCCGAGCGGTCTCCTATACCGCTACCCAACGAGCAAACGATCACTTCCATCGATTCCGGTGCGGAACTCCTCTTGATAATCCCCAATGTACCACCATCCGGCTCAATGACCTCTGGCGGATCTGGAAGCTCGAGAACCATGAAAGAAACAGGACGGATCTGGCTCACCGACCAACGAGTGCGCGTCACTGCTTTCTAGGCTTGTCTGCACCTGGTTACTCAACTGTCTAATCTGCCGCTTGTTCGACCAGCTCGTCTTCGTGTCGGATACCAAAGGACAGCAGCCGTCCTTCGATTCACTCTCTGTGCTTCTAACGTCCATTCAGTCGACGAAGTTCGAGCAGCCGTACTTCGGCGCCAATTATCTCGTGATAGAGATTAAGCCGACAGCTGATGGAGGCCTCACGGAGGGCACTAAAGCCGAAGTTAGGCTGAAGGACAAGGGCCTCTTCTCTTTCGTCAGCGTACTGGAGAAGACGCGTGAGCGAGCGATTTATATGAAGCGACAGTCTGCTCTGGATGACGACGAGACATTGCGTAAGCCCAATAATGTCTGAGGTTTTGTTTAGACACTGACTCACTGCTCTATAGCCACATATCCTTCCACCCCTGATGCAGGTCCCTCTGGGTCCGTCGAAATGCCCGCTGACAATCCTCCTGCATACGATGGTTAAAGTGGAATCACGGATGTTGTAAATGATGTACCTATAATGTACTATGGATATATCTCGTTTCGGTGGACCATCGTCTGAGCGTTGGCTATTCATTTGCATCGCTATACACATCTTTCCGTGAGGAGTGTATTGGATGTAGGTCTGCTCCTTCCTTAGCGGTATCAGTATCTGTCAGCAGTTGGCTTGTGCAGAATGTGCTCGTGTTGTTCCGACGTTCGTTGAGTTTAGGCTTTCTTCTCTGTTTTGGCACTCGTTTGTTCCGATTTGGACTCAAGGTACGGACGGGTTTAGCAGCTTTAGCTGAAAGGTCTTGAGCCACTGATGTTCAGGGTATACGTCCAGTATTAGGAGGACCATACTCGCAGTTACATGTATGTCTCCGCTCTATGCTGACTTAGGGACATATAATCAGCCAATTCACAAGCTTCTAACCTTGGGGTCCCATCAAGTACTATATCAAGTCGGTCGCACAAGAGACGAGAGGCAGCGAATCGCCTATCAGATGACGTCGAAACCCAGAATACCAGTGTTCCTGGATGCGCACCCTCATACACGGAGTTCGCAACGAAAGTGGCAACCACGGATACATCAGCTGCTTCTATCTTTCCCAATAACTCAAATTCTCCACATGCGCCCAGCATTCCGAGGTTCCGAGGCCAGTATACCGGCCGCTTTTGAAAATACATATTATGGACGGGCGCATGGTGGCCCATGGACGGACGCCGTAACTTCACCCCGACAAGTTTGGCTCGGAATTGCAGACAGGTCAGGATTGATGTCGCTGAAGGCTTTTGCTTGCTAAGGTCACCCGCCCTTCAGCTGGATGCTAGCAGCCTGCTTTGCCCGAGCTTCGTACTAAGCTCTGAACTCGTTGCCGCTAGCTCAGACCATGATGGGTGCGCTGGAGACGTTGCATTGGTATAGTCAACTGTGCCTTGTCACTCTTCGCCTGTCTGACAAGTAGAGGTATGCTCGTCCTAGGTTTTATGCACGTCATTCGGGAATCGCGGCGCTTCCCTTTGAACCGCTCACTGTGGCCGCGGTACAAGATTTACAGTTAGTCCGGTGAGCGGCATCAAGGATTGATTTATATATGTTGCGCCGCCGTTCATGCCTCGAATTGTCAGCTATGTCAGCTGGGCCGGGTATGCTGTCTTACTTCACGAGTTCGCTCTCACATTCGAAGACGAGGTATGCGGTTGGGCTGGTTAAGCGTTGCCTTAGGACTCAGCCCTTAACCAGGTGCGGCATATATGGCCTTCACGATGGTCCCTTGTCAAAGGGATCTTTTTGGCAAACCGCTACGGGGCCATAGTTTTGATCGGTCTTTTTAACGCCCAACTGTCCACTCTCTGGACTAGTGACTCTCCTTTAGTAAGTCACCCCGCTGATACGATGCACGACGCTCGACGCTCAAGTTCACTTGCGTCCCTAAGTTCTGTTATAGATTCACTCCTATATGTGCTATAGTCATGTTCATTTCTTATGCTTCTATTCACGGTGAGTCAACTTCATTCCATCGCAACTCAAGTAGTCTGAAGGGCTTTCCGCAGTCTTGGTTCTGATGCGAGCGTGGGCTGTATGGGGACGAAATCCAAAGATCTTAGCGGGTCTGATTTTCCTCTTCGTCTTGTATGCTCTCGCCAGCGCGGGTATAATGACGTACGGTATGGCCGTTGGCGTTCGTAAGTATCTAGACGCTCCAATGTCCAATATCGTGCATTCGTCGCTTACGTTGTCCTAGACGACGCTTTCCCTTACTTCTCCGCTCTCGGCATTTGCTCGGGCCCGTTACCTTGTGAGCCCATCTGCCCCCAAGTCCCAATGATTGTTTACGGAGCGTGACGTTCTTGCAGCTTGGCAAGTGAGTCTCCTAACCGTGTATTCGCCATCTATGTCATTTACAACTAAAACGTAGTGGACGCTATGGTTGCCAAGGTCAGTTATGACTGTCGAGGAAGGGCACTTCTTGCTCAGGTTCTGACCAATCTGCGTTCCAGCTTGTTCCTGGAATCAGGTGTATTCATCCTTACTATGCTCACGATCAGACACAACTTCCAAGACCAGCAGACGTCGCCCATCGTCTGCACCGTGTATCGGGACGGTACGCCGCATTGCTCATGAGTGCCTTTTGACCTGCGTCTTATGAGGCTTCAGGGACTCTCTACTTCATTGTGAGGAGTCTCCCTTGTAGTGGCTTGTCTTACCCGAAATGATGCTCCGACAGTTCTCATTCGTAAATAGTTTGACGAACATTCTTGTTTGGTAAGTGTAGTTCACTAACTCAGTATCATGGCACACTAAGAGTACATTGCAGGGCATTCGCCTACGATGTAAGCTCCGTCTAGCTCACACACCGGGTCTACATATATGAACCAACGTGATATGCTCAGCGCATGCTCAACATGGTATCCATTATGTTCGTAGTATAATCCATCTCCCGATGCGTTATAGCTGATCAGCCTTCAGTCTGACGATGGCTCTCGTCAACATAGCGGGGCAACGATTAGTCCTTGATCTACGCAAGGTGGATAGGCTCGAGTGGCAAAACCAGCCGCGCCGCAGCGCTGATGGTGGCTGGCAGCTCGAAGGCATCGAGACGGCCCCAGACGAAGGCGAACCTATCGCCTTTGAGCTGGTCACCAGCGGAAGCGGCATTGGTGAGGGTGTGGGAGACCGGTGCGGTTGGTGGGATCGGAGGGATGTGGATGTTTCGAAAGGCAGTATTGAGATTGGGGGGAGAATCGAACTAGGGCAACACAGCTTGGGTTGTGCTACTTCGGAAGTCCCGTCACATTTTGTCCCGAAGTCCTCGGAACTCGCTGCGAAATAACAATTGATTTTGACAAGTGACTCACGGTAGTCGATGCCTGGGTGCCTGACTACCCCTCCTTTAGGACGGGATCAAAGCGTTGGACGAACCTGGTCGACAACAGGCTCCTAAACCACCCGTCCTTAGCGTTCGCGCTCCTCTAATTACTAGGGCAGAAGTGAAATATTACGTAAGAAAATGTATTATATGAGAATTACCGGATACAGAACGAACAAGAGGAGGAGAACGCTATAGGACGGCTGGAACAAATCGTCTCCCCGAGATCACCGAGTCTGACTAAGCATGCCAAAAACGGCAGTAGCTGAAATGCTTCAACAGCAGTGGGTGTACTTTATGCTCACTGAATACTCAGCCCGAGAGCCTGAGAGCTTCATTAAATGTCTTATAAGTTGCTTCGAACTCATTTGACTATGTTATGTGACCCCAATCGCCCACCCACTGCTGTTAAAGCATTTCAGCTACTGCCG